GTCCTAGCTTTGACCTAGTCCACTCCTGGCTGTTGTGGCCTTTTAGGGCGTGAACCAGCTGATGGAAGATATCTCTCTCTCTCTCTCTCTCTTCTTCTGTCTCTTCCTCTCCCTGTAACTCTACCTTTCAAATAAAATAAAAAAATCTTTATAAAAACTACTTTTAGTGCTTAATAAAGTATCTAAACATCTGTCTTGTAATGCTAATTTTTAAATGTAAAATTAACTGTTTTAGACTTTTGATTTTTAAGTTAAAAACTCTTTAAAAGTTTACACACTGTTTTGGAAGTTTACAAGTCACCATATGAATTATCTTAATTTATTAGTTTAGTGAGAATTAATTAAGAATTTGGGAAGGTTTATGAATCATAAAATTGAAGTGTTTGAAAAATAATCAAATTATTAAATTAATAAGTGCAGTTTAAAATGCTTAACCAATTGGATCAGACATCAATTTTCTAGAACTATAAATATAATAATAAACTGTTTAATATAAAGCAGGATCTTAATCTGCAGGTAATGAATATTAATTTTTAAATCCAAAGTATCATTTTAGGGTGACAAGCTCTAATGCATTTTAAAAATCTCTACCTTTTCTTTTTCTTTTTTGTGCTGCTCTACAGCAAGTTCACAGGGAGCTCTCCAGATCCAGAATGTAAATTCTTCCCAGTATGAATCGCTGGGAGAGGGCGGTTGAGGCCGCATGAGTAGGCAGCAGATGCGCGCGCTGAGAGCGTCGGAGGTTAATAGAAATGACACCTCGTGAACTCTGACTTCTTACCTTCCTTCCAGGCTGGTTTCTCCAGCCCGCAGATGAAGATTCTTGCATCACCTTCAACCTTGCATTTCAGAATCTTAGCTGTCATTCCCTTATCTCCGTCTCTCTACTTGTGGCCTTAGCCCAAAGGCTTCCATTCAGAAGCACTGTATTGATTGCACCACAGTCAGCCCAACTCCATAGACTGGAAACTCTGGTCATTTTTCACTCTTGCCTCACTCTCTCACCCAATCCTGATAAGCCTTTCTATGTTAGGTCTACTTTCTTCCAACCTTTCTCAGTCACCATTATCATCCAGGGCCCCAAGGTCTTAACAAGGATTTCGGCCCTAGTCTTTGGTCAGTCTCCCTCTTTGGGGTTCATTCTAAACAGAGCTGTCACAAGAGTCACCAAATTCTGTTTTTTTTTTTTTTTCACTAATATTTTATTTGCTTGAGCGTTTACCAACTCTCTAACATCTGTCAAATAAAACCCAAGCTGTCCTTGACCTCCATGGTCTTTCACTGACAGGAAGTACTCCTAATCTTAGCATCTTCATCTTTATTTTTTTCTTTTTTTTTAAACATTTATTTATTTATTTATTTGAAACTCAGAGTTACACAGAGAGAGAAGGAGAGGCAGAGAGAGAGAGAGAGAGAGGTCTTCCATCTGCTGGTTCACTCCCTAATTGGCCGCAATGGCCGGAGCTGAGCTGATTCGAAGCCAGGATCCAGGAGCATCTTCCAGATCTCATACTCGGATGCAGGGGCCCAAGGACTTGGGCCATCTTCTACTGCTTTCCCAGGCCACAGCAGAGAGCTGGATCAGAAGTGGAGCAGCCAGGACTTGAACTGGTGCCTATATGGGATGCCAGCACTGCAGGCAGCAGCTTTACCTGCTATGCCACAGTGCCGGCCCCAAATCTTCATTATTTCTTGATGAGACCTGCTGTGGTTTGAGGTTATCTGCCAAACTTCGTGTCCTGGAAGCTTGGTGCCCAGGCTGTTGATGTTGGGAGGTGCTGGAACCTTAAAGACATAGGGCTTGAGGCTGGCATTGTGGCACAGCGGGTTGAGCCTCTGCTTGCAGTGCCAGCATCCCATGTGGATGCCAGTTGAAGTCCCGGTTGCTCCACTTCCTATCTGGCTGCCTGCTAATGCACCTGGGAAAGCAGCAGAGGATGGCCCAAGTGCTTGGGCTCCTGCACCCATGTGGGCGAGCTGGAGGAAGCTCCCGGCTCCTAGCTTCAGTCTGGCCCAGCTCTGGTGTGAATCACAAGATGAAAGATATTCTCTCTCTAAATCTGACTTTCAAATAAACAACAAGCAAATAAATAAATAAAAAAAGAGTATCAAGTGATATATTTTATATGACTGTATTTTGTGCACTACAAAATTCTGTTCAAATATAGGGTTGGGTAGCTGTGCTGTGGCTATAAAAGCCAAGGATTTGGACTTGGAAGCTGTACTTGGAAGAGTTGAGTTCTTGCCAGTTGTGTTTTCAGCAACAATTAAACTTCCCTGAGTTGAAGCGACTTCACCAGGAAAATGGCTCTAAAATGCTTCACGTTGAAGGAGTCGGGAAGATGAAGCAAATGGTCATCAATAAAAGCTTTATAAAAACTTTGAAGGGCCAACGTGTATTTCTCAGTGATGACGAGGCAAGCACTTGGCTACTAAATGTTTACATAGAGACCAATACATGTTGACTTGATGACTCAGAAATATTTTAAGATGAGGCCCACATACCAATATGGTGTAAGTAGCATCACTTTATGAATGGCTTATTGTGGCAGAAAAACAAGGAGCTTTAAGGATTCAAACGCAATGAACACTTCTAACCTACAAAGGAAGTAAACAGGACTCCAGGCATCAAAAATGGCATCCAAAAATCTCACCGAAAATCAATATTTCTTTGAAAGCAAGTCAATATATTTATTCAATTAGGAGAGATTAGTTGAAAGTCATGGCCTTTGTCTGTATTCTCTCAATTTCTGGGCCCTAGGTCTGAAGTCTACTCAATATTTTCTCATTCAGCATTGTTTGTGTTGGTTCCAGCACATATTAATGGTACATCACGCTGAGCCCTGTTTTAAGCCCTGGAGATACACAAGTGAAGATAGTTCAGGTTCCTGGGGGATCTTACATCTCAGCGGGAGAGAAATAACTAGTTATTAAACAAAATAATTACAGATTATAGTAAATGCTAGAAAGTAAGTAGTAGAGTAGGAATGGGGTTGGGGAGCACTCTAGATGGTGCATTCAAGGAGGACATCAGGAGGAAGTGACATTTAAGCTGAGGTTGGAGGATGAAGTAGAGAACCACACAGGGAGTCCAGGAGGGAGCAGGCCAGACTGCTAGAAGGGTGAGTAAGGCAAGAGCAAGCTGGCTGTGTTCAGAGGCCTCTGCGATTGGAGCCTGGGAATTTAGAAGTCTAGTCACAGATCATACAAAGTTGGTGGGTCTTGGGGAGGAGTCTGAGTTTTCTTCTATGTGCAATGGAAAACCACTAAAGAGGTTTACATATTATTGGAATGTAAATGGTGCTATTTAAAAAAACATATTCAGTGTTATAATACTAAGCTTAAAATTGGTTCAACATATAAGTTTAAAAGAAAATGGAGGGAGTGGGCAAGTGGCCTAAGCAGTTGAGACACTGATTGAGATGCTCACAGCCTGCTCCATAGTGCCTGGGTTCGAATCCTGGCTTCATTTCTGAGTCCAGCTGCTTGCTAATGCAGATCCTAGCAGGCAACGAAGTTAGCTCAAGTAGTCAGCTCCCTGCCACTCATAAGGGGGATCTGGACTGAGTTTCCAGCACCTGGCTTCAGCCTTGGCCCAGTCCTAGCTGTTGCAGGCATTTGGGGAGTGAACCAGTAGAACTGAATTCTCTGTGTGCCTGATTTTCTGCCTCGCAAATAAATAGATAGATGAACATATAAATAGATAAGAAAAAGGACCAGGCATTTTGAAATTTGGGCTTCCTCCATGTGGGTGGGGTGCACTGAGTAGGGACTGCCACAAATTTCACCTGCTGTTCTCATTATCCATCTTGGGAAACTAGGATTCTTAACATTCCAAGTGCAGGCTGCTTTCTGGGTTGTGGAGACGAAGCCTTTCAGGTCTGTTTTTAAACAGCTTCTTAAGGCTCTGTAGTCATAGGAAGATGACTGGTATGGAGAGATCTCTGCAGTATGCTAACAGGAAGAGAAAGGCTGTGTCCAACAATGATGTGTTGACACTGTGTATACATAAACCGTCTTTAGGATGCTTACGAAACTCATGGTGTTGGCCACACCTATGGTGAAGAGATCTGGGTAGCTGGGGGATAGGATGGGACAGGATTCTTATTGTATTTCTTTTTGTCTCTTTAATATTTTAAACAAAATGAATATTATCTATTTAAAAATTAATTAAAACCCTGAACTTTTTTTTTCAATATAGATCCTTATCTGAAAGGAAACAGACTATGTTCCAGGTTTGGTGAGGAAGAATTTGCATCACTGGACAAACATGAAGTTGTTCTGTCTGATTGAAATCTAGACCTATGACGTCCGATACAGTAGACACCACCTTAGTTGTATCTACCTTACTTCAAATCAAATTGAATTGAATTTAAGAAGTGTGGTCCTTGGCCATACCAGGCATATTGCCAGTACTCAGTAGTCATGTGCCTCACGTGACTAATGGCTACCAGATTGGACAGCACAGATTTAAGACATTTCTGTCATCACAGAAGGTTCTATTGGACAGCCTGCTGTAGACTTATGCAAAATATTGCCATAGCTATGCAGGAGCTCTTAAAACTTGAGATCAATACATAGAAACTCGGGAGTACAATAATTCAAATATATTCCAACACTAATTTTCCTAAGATGACTCACTAGAACGACATTTTGAGATGCAATCAAAACTCCCAGTATTAGATTTCTAAGGTAGGCAGGGACATATTGGAAAGGAGCCTACACACACAAATAATTTTGTCACTACAAAAAAAATCAGTTTGCACCAGTGTAGACACAGGCAGTTATAGCCTGAGTATTAAAGAATTATTTTTCTAAATGTAGATTTAAGTAAAACTAACATGCTTGTTGTTTACTGAATTTGGCACTCTGCCTGATATAATAAATGAGTCAATAGTACTAACATGATAACAGGTTGAGTAATGAGATTCAATTATATTCAACATCTTAAGTGCAATTTGTCAACTTTTCTCATTTTTTGCTATCAGTATGCACTCAAAGCTTTTCACAAAATGTATTTTAACCACCCATAGTCATCATTTTTCTATTGATATTCAAATTGATAGAATTTAATCAATTGAAGTCCCTTGAAGCTGGTTTCTGCATTCTTTTATGTAGTATCAATATTTTTTAAAAGCATCTTTGTAGGACCGGCACTGCATGGGCATCCCTTAAGGGCTCAAGTTCGAGTCCCGGCTCTCTACTTCCAATACGGCTCTCTGCCATGGCCTGGGAAAGCAGTGGAAGATGGCCCCAGTCCTTGGACCCCTGCACCCTGGTGGGAGAACCAGAAGAAGCTCCTAGCTCCTGACTCCTCGGCCCAGCTCCAACTGTTGCAGCCACTTAGGGAGTGAACCAGCGGATGGAAGACCTCTCTCTCTCTCTCTCTCTCTCTCTCTCTCTGCCTCTGCCTCTCTGTAACTCTGCATTTCAAATAAATAAACATTTAAAAAAAGATAAAGCACATTACCACAAGCTTAAAAAAAATAAATAAAAGCATCCTTGCTGGGGCCGGTACTGTGGTGCTTCAGATTAAAGCCCTGGCCTGAAGTGTCAGCATCCCATATGGGCACCAGTTCTAGTCCCGGCTGCTCCACTTCCAGTCCAGCTCTCTGCTATGGCCTGGGAAAGCAGTAGAAGATGGCCCAAGTCCTTGGGCCCCTGCACCCATGTGGGAAACCCAGAAGAAGCTTCTGACTCCTGGCTTTGGATCAGCGCAGCCATCTGGAGAATGAACCAGCGGATGGAAAACCTCACTCTCTGTCTCTACCTCTCTCTGTAACTTTCAAATAAAAATCTTTAAAAAAAAATTTTTTAAAGTCTTCCCTTAAAGAAAAAAAAAAGCATCCTTGCTTTCTGACCCAGCAAGATGTTCCAAGACTGACTGGTACCTTCTAAGGCTGAGACATGCAATTGGTATATCTCTATGGCATACTGGTTCTTTTCATTGAAAATGGCATTTGATCCAAAAATGTAGATAGCAGACACACATACGATCACATTTACAATGCAGCAATAATATTGTTTCTTGGACATTTCAATGAACAAACCAAGAAAAGATATATTTTGTTAAATGGTATTGGTTTCTATTAATATTTCCAACTTAGTTCTCACATAACCACAAGCTTGCTTCCACTTTTTATTTTTCCAGATGATAACTGTATTTTCCTTTCTTTATAATAAATGAAACATTCAGTTACCACTCCAAATAAAAATGCTGTATTCTTGACAAAGTTAGCAAAATTGCTTTTATCTGCCAATGCAGGAAAGTATAAGATAGTAATGCAAATATTAATCCTAACAGTAAAACCGTTGAATAACATTCAAATTTTTCTTTGCTTTTCTCTTCTAATGCACCTCACTAAGGATGGTCAGATCAATTATTTTGCCATTCATGATAGCTCTTCGTCCTGTGTGCTTGTCTAATATTTACAAAGGTATGGTCTAGTCCTCTTGTCTTGGTTCACATGTGGACATGACAGGCAGGCAGACAATTGTCACCTCTGAGTTCTTGGATGGCAGTGATTTTTTTTTTTAAGATTTATTTATTTGAAAGCCAGAGTTACAAAGAGAGAGAAAGAAAGGCAGAGAGAGAAAGAGGTCTTCCATCCACTGGTTCACTCCCCAGATGGCCTCAACAGCCAGAGCTGCACTGATCCGAAGCCGGGAGCCAGGAGCTTCTTCTGGGTCTCCCACATAGGTGCAGGGGCCCAAGGACTTGGACCATCTTTTATTGTTTTCCCAGGCCATAGCAGAGATCTGGATCAGAAGTGGAGCAGCCAGGTCTCGAACTGGCACCCATACGGGATGCCGGCACTGCAGGCAGTGACTTTACCCGCTACGCAACAGAGCTGGCCCCTGCAGTGACTTTCAGTTTCTCACTTTTTTCTCATGACAAACTAGGGTTATTTTAAATATGCAAATTATCTTATCAATAGTTAAAAGGCAGATAGGCTACCTGCATATTATATTTTTAAAATAGATTTTTATATAAAAGGAAATGAATGGCGTTCAGAAATTATTAGTGAAAATGAAATGGTGTCACTGGGTAACCTGTTATAGCAATTTTTAAAATTTGCAGTTATTTATTTTAATTTTTATTTGAAAGGCAGAGAGACAGAGAGGGGACTTTCATCCTCTAATTCACTCCCTAAATGCCCACAGAGGCCAGCGCTGGGCCAGGTAGAAGCCAAGAGCCAGGAACTCCACTGAAGACTCCCCGTGTGGGTGCCAGCGACCCAGGTACATCAGCGATCGCCTGCTGCCTCCCAGGCACAGTATCAGGAAGCTGCATCGGGCGAGGAGTAGTCAGGACTTGAACTAGGCATTCTGAAATGAGATGAGGGCATTCAAAGTGGTGACTTCGCCTGCTGCACCACAACGCCAACCCTACCTGAAGTAATTTTAGCTGATTAACAACAGATTTAAAATTTAAAATTTAGACTTCATAACCATAGATTTCTAAGACACACACTGAACACACATGATTTTGTCACCATAAACACTCCATATATACATATGAGGACGCAGGAGGTTAGTCATCATTTGACATAAATGTATTTTCTTTTTTTTTTTTTTTTAACTTTTTTTTTTTTTTTTTTTTTTTTTTTACAGGCAGAGTGGACAGTGAGAGAGAGAGACAGAGAGAGAAAGGTCTTCCTTTTGCCGTTGGTTCACCCTCCAATGGCCGCCGCTGCAGCCGGCGCACCGCGCTGATCTGATGGCAGGAGCCAGGAGCCAGGTGCTTTTCCTGGTCTCCCATGGGGTGCAGGGCCCAAGCACCTGGGCCATCCTCCACTGCACTCCCTGGCCATAGCAGAGAGCTGGCCTGGAAGAGGGGCAACCGGGACAGAATCCGGCGCCCCGACCGGGACTAGAACCTGGTGTGCCGGCGCTGCAAGGTGGAGGATTAGCCTAGTGAGCCACGGCGCCGGCCATAAATGTATTTTCTTGTTCAGCCTATGAATGAGCCAGTGGAATGATTTCTGGAAGGAATTTGTGCATACCTGCTTGGTTTCCTAAAAGAAAAGAAAACAAAACAAAACAAACAAACAAACAAAAAAACGAATCAGGACTCCCTAATAGTAATAGTGAACCAGAACTGATTTTGCCATTACATCTGATGGGTAGATCACGTGGGACTCCCTGAGCTGCCTCCGTGCTCCAGCAGAGCCTGACCCAGAGCGAGTGCCACTGTTGCCTCATGCATTCCCGGTGGGCCTGGGGCTGGGGTCCAGCTGGATGCTGACCTCCTCTGGGCCTCACTTTGCTCTCCTGAGCTGCCACTTTGAGCAAGAAGGCCCGTTATGGGGTGGTTACTATCAAATTAGAAAAACTCAGCCTGGTCACGCCTCTATGTCCCCAACTCCAGCTTGTGCACAACACACCTGTTTGTGTCCCCACAGCAGCCTGTGCTCATCCTACTGCCACACCATTTATTGCGTTGTGTCATAATGGCTGGCAATCCTGGCACCTTTTATACCATATTTTACTATTATAGGACTTCAGAAAGTATAACCTTTCAGTTGGGATTAGCTGTTCCCTCATTACTTGCATCAGATAGGCCTCCTGAGGTTAGACTTAAAGACTTCATGAAACCACTGAACTCTGATTTATCTTACATAATGAGATACACGCTTTTTGTATAAATATATATATATATATATATATATCCTAGAGAGCAGCAGCTTGGAAATTATTTATAAATCTCTAAGGAAGTTCAAAGAGTCAAGTTTTCTAGGGAAGTCTGCAATCTATGTACTAAGACTTAAAAATAAGACAGGTGAGTTGTCAGGTGTTGACGCTGTTGTACCTTCTTCAAGGTAGAGATGCTCTTGTCCATGTCTCTACCTGCGATGTTTGAAGGCACTAAATGTATCATCCAGTGAATGTCTGTGGAATGAGTAAAGCACATGAATGTAAATACATACACCTTTTCCTAATCACCAGCCCAGGAGGGCTGTCCTTTAGTCACCAACCAGAGGCTTTGGTAGGACCTGGACTTCAGTCTAGCTCTTGAGAAAAGCCCAGGTGACAACACGGAGAGCTGAGGTGTGCTGCCCAAAGGCTACACAACCATGAGCTTCTATTGATTTCGTGACCTCTGCGTCAAATTCAGTTCTCCACAGAAGCGCCTTTACTGGATTATGATTAGTCATTGCTGAGTTGGAACAAAGGAAAAAACCCACAGGACATTGTTGCTGTGTTGAAAAACAAAATCACTATTTAAGACAACTGCCCACTTCTTTAGAAAGTAAGCTCAATGAGAGCAGAGACTTGGCTGTTCTCAACATTTTATATTTTAAAAGATTTATTTTTATATTATTCATTTGAAAGGCAAAATAACAGAAAGAGGAAGAGACAGAGATAGATTTTCCCATCTGCTGCTTTGCTTCCCAAATGCCCTCAATGGCCAGGGCTGAGCTAAGCCAAAGTCAGGAGCCAGGAATTGCGTCCAGGTCTCCCATGTGGGCGGCAGGGACTCAAGTACAGGGGCCATCCTCTGCTGTCTCCTAGGTGCATTAGCAAGGAGCTGGATCAGAAGCAGAGCAGCCAGGACTCAAAACAGCACTCTAATATGGGATGCCATTGTCATAGGTGGCATCTTAACCCACTGCATCACCAGGCTGGTCCCTTAATATTTTTTGTAGTGTTATAAATATCACACAATGTGGGCCTAGAAACATATTTAATTTATATTGAATGAATGAATGAATTTTATCATCCAATGTCCTTTATGTAAAGAACTATACAATAAGTTCTTTCTTGATGTACTACATGAAGAAAGTTAGTCTTACTGAATAAAACTGGTGTGCATCTTTTCACTAGACAGCATGAACTTGTTTTTCTTTGACTTTGCTTCCAGGAAGACCAAAGTGAGCCATTCTAAGAATATCTTAATTGGACTTCCTTTGTCTCTCCTCTTTCCAGTCCAGTCCGCCACGGCCAGGAATTCTTTATGGAAAAAACCATGAGACCAAAAGATTACATCCTGTGCCCCCTTTTCATTCGAGCCCCAGTCCATTTCTCCCATGCTCAAGGCCTCGTCTATTTGTTCTGTCCTTGTCCCCCTGTCCCACTTGCCTTTGCCTTCTGCCGTCTGCCATGTTTCATGCATGAGATCCATCCTCCCCTTAGCACAAGCTGTGTATTCCCACCTCCAGCACATTTCTGCTACTTTACAATACTCCTTCCTCTCATATCTCAAGTGCTGATCCTCCCTGAACTCCCTGACCAGAGACTTCATTCTTTTTTAAGTATTATTTTAGAATTTGATTTATTTGTTTTCAATTTATTTGAAAAGCAGAGAGACAGAGAAAGACACATAGAGAGAGATCTTCCACCTGCTGGTTAACTCCCCAAATGCCCGCCACAGCCAGAGGTGGGCCAGGAGCCTGGAACTCTATCTGGATCTCCCACACAGGTGGCAGGGGCCCAAACACTTGATATAACCTGCTGCTCCCAGGAGGCACATTGGCAGGAAGCTGGATCCAAAGCGCAGCAGCCAGGACTTGAATCAGGCACTCGGATATGGGATGCAGGTGCCCCAGTTAGCAGCTTGTACTGCCTGTGTTTGAATCAAAGTAGCTCCACTTATTATGACTCAGTTTCCTCATTAGTGCTACTGTAGTTTACTGCCTGGTAAGGTTATATAAGGTTTCAATACAACTTTACCCATTTTCAATATTAGCTACTAATATTCTCCCTCTCTCTCTCTGTAACTCTTTCAAATAAAGAATCTTAAAATTTTTTTTTACTTATTTGGAAGTCAGAGTTAGAGAGAGAGAGAATCTTCCATCCTCTGGTTCATTCCCCAGGTGGTTTTAATGGCCAAGGCTGGGCCAGGCCAAAGCCAGGAGCCAGGAGCTTCATCCAGGTCTCCCTCATGGGAGGCATGGGCCTAAGCACATGGGCCATCTTCTGCTTTCCCAGGTGCATTAGCAGGGAGCTAGTTCAGAAGTGGAGCAGCCGGGGGACTTGTACCTGAGCCCATATGGGATGCCAGCATCACAGGCAGCAGCTTAACCCACTACACCGCAGCACCAGCCCCTGTGTGTCTTTTAACAACAAGGACGTGTTCTGAAAAAATTGTGTTGTCGGCCATTGTGTCACTGTGCTCACATCCTGCGATGGGCCTGCAACAAACCCACAGTAGAGGTCAATCACTCAAGATAGCTTCTTGGAGCAGTTAGGAGGTCTATGAACAAGAGCTGAATGCAGCTGCTTCCAGCATAACATAGCATCCTGTTTCACAGTCACCTTTTTTTTAAGAGTACACTCTAAAACAAGCATAGGCAGCGAGCATTTAGCCCACCTGTTAAGATGCCCATGTTACACATCAGAGTGCCTGGGCTCAGTTCTCCCCTCCCGCTGCTGACTCCAGCTTCCTACCAACACAGACCCTTGGAGGCCACAGTGAGATGACTCAAGAAATTGGACCCCTGCCACCCATGTGGGGGACCTGTACTGAGTTCCCAGCTCCTATCTTTGGCCCCTAGGGGACATTGCAAACATTTGGGAAGCAAACCAGTGGACAGGTGCTCTCTGTCTCTGTTTGTCAAATGAACAAAAATTCTTCAGAAAATGATTGAGCATGGTATAGTAAATACAGATCAATAACAGATATTTATTAGCATTACCAGGTATTATGTACTGTACATAACTGAATTACTATATTTTTGCTATATGATTGGCAGTACAGTAATTCGCACCAGCGTCACCCACAAGACAGATGAATAGTGCATTGCACTATGACATTACAGGGGCTATGACATCACTAAGCAATAGGAATTTTTCAGCTTCATTAGAATCTTATGGGACCATGGTTGTATATGTAGTCCAGCCTCGACTTAAATGTCATTATGTAGTGTGTGAATGTATTATCTTACTTAAGTCTCACAATAATTCTATTAGGTAGGAGGCAGTATCTTGGTTGTAGTAAACACGCATTATAACAAGGTCACTGGTTTAACACAGATGACTGTGTGGCATCAAAAGAGCACTTGGTAAGAATCCTTAGTACTCTGAGATTTCCTTTCAGTTTCCTTTCAATATTGTTTCTTTCTTTATTAGTCTGTTTATGACCCTACCTGGGTTTCTGTTTCAAGATTCAGGTCTTCTCACTTGGCAGCCTTTTTCTCAGAGCCAGTGACAGGTTATAACATCTGACACACACTCCTGGGCCAGGACCCAACTTCAAACTCTTCTACAAACCCTTTGTTCTGGATAGGTATGAGGAAAACACGTAATGCACATGGAAGAAAGTGTAAAATCTGACTGAGACTCATTACAGGAAGTCCTTCTGATCATGGACATGACCGTTCACTGTCTTTCTCCTCACCCCAGCAAGCTGGTGTAGGGAGACGCCAATAATCTTTGAAGCATTACTTGGTTTGGGTCTTATCATGACATTATATTAGATTTTTCTAAGTCGAGGACTTAGGGAAGGTATCCTCTTTCAGATGGGAGGAGGCTGCTCTATCCACTCATCATCCCTCTCACACATGTATCTCAGTATTATCTAAGGACCTTAAGATGCCAGTCAACCTTGGCTTCATCTTGCATCATACAGGATACTCTAAACTATTATGGCTACGTTCTGAATATACACTGGATAGAGACTGGAAATTATTTATACGTGTTCAGTGAAATTCAAGTGCACAAATTCCCTGGAGAACTTTACAATACAGTCATTTAAATAAAACAGGTTAATTGAAAGATGTTGATGTCATTAGACATTCTTAGGCCCCCACAGTGAGATGCTGCACATATAAAGACAGGATTCTACCCCACAGCTTGCAATCTAAAATTAGATAAACACAGGCAAGCCAGACAAACATAGGCAGCACTTTTTTTTTCAGCCAAAAAGAAATGATGGAAGAGAAAAATGAACATAGTGAGTTAAAAAGGCAAAGGGAATTGGCAAATATTTTATCTCCTGCCTTTCATCTGTAGCCATAATTACCTCTGCAGAAGCAATGGTATTAAGTTAAAGAGGGAGGCTGTGTGAGGGTCCCTGACGGATGTTGGAACAGCAACCTCCAGTCTCAGATGTCCGGAAACTCCTTTTATCCAGCACTCCTGGTATGTGCCCACTTGCCTGACTTTGGGTCCCGAAAGTCCACTATCTCCAAGCTCAGCACCAGACCTGACAGCCCGACCAGCATGTTAGGGACCACAGCTTCCAACAGCTGATGGAGTTTGGAAGTTATACACTGCAGCAGGCCACGTGCTCTGGAGGTGACCAGCCTGGGTGCCCACGTGAACTTCAGGTTGAGACTCCCTGTTAACCCCCATCCTATGTGGTCAGTCCACAAGCCAAGTTCACGGCCAAGCCTGGCTGACTTCCTCCCTGATGTTAGGTTAAACACACACACACCCCTACAATGTGCCTGGCTTCAGGCTAGGTGGTAGGGCTGCAGGTAAATATGCCTTCTTCTGGAGCTTACAATTTATCCTGGGAGACAGCTGACAGAACATTTTAATATAATGTGGTAAATGCAGTGGCAGAGGGCTGGTCAGGGTGAAGCTCTAAGCAAAGCTACCCAGCCAGACTGGGTGGTCAGGGAAAGGTTACTGGAGAAGAGCATTCTGAGAGCGGGGCAGAAGGGAGCCAAACGCCAGACGAATAGGTTTTCAAAAGAGAAAGAGAGAGGGAGGAAAACGGTCAAACTCCACAGCTGTCAGGTAGAATGGATCTGGAGAAAGTCTGTTGGACTGTCAAGTAGCAGCAGGTCAAGGGCAGCCGCGGGCAGGGAAGTCAGGAGGTGAAGGCAGTCCCACTGCCCGCAGGCTGAGGAAGTACAGGGAGATAAGACACAAAGCGTGGCTGAGAAAAGAAAGTGAATGAGAGGAGGATGTCATCAGGGGAAGTTGTGTTTTTGATCAGCAGGGCAGGTTTCTAATCAGAGAAAAGAGCTGATGGGAGATAAAGAGAAAAAGAGATAATTGATGGACACAAGGAACAGGTTCTTCCTTCCAGATTTCACTTTTGTTCTCATGGGATGGGCTCTGATCCTCCTCCTGATGCTATGAGCTCCGAGGCAGACCTGGCTTCTAGTTTCCCTTGCATGGAACGCACCTCCCTAAAAGATAACAATGACACGGACTAAATCACACAGAAGTCCTGATGGCCGACTCCCTTTCCAACAAATCAATCTAAGAACTAATGTGCCTACAAACACGTGATATACCTTTCTAGTTTAGAACACTTGCGTCTACAATTCAGGGCTTCCATGTCCCATGTCCTGGAGGCTTAACTATTAACTGGACTAACCAATTGGAAGGTTCTTGGTTTGAAATGGTTTTATAACAAAGAGGGCTTTAGAGAGTTATTTAATCCAGGCTCGGGTGAAAACTGAGGGTAAGACCCCCTATAATCGCTGGCGTACTCAGCCGAGACAGTGCTTGCCAAATTTGCTCCATGACAAATCTTCACTTTCGTTGTTTATCATCACACATTACTGAGGCCATCAGAAACTGTACCCTCTGTTTCCTCCACAACAAGTATATGAAAAGGTCTTGGGTAGGCCTTCTTAGTAACTGAGTTTTGGTAATTTTAACTATTGGTGTAAATAGTTACACTATTTTTAATTTGGTAATTTTAACTATTGGTGTAAACTAATTTCTCAGTTACAGGAAACTAATTTCTAAGTTACAGGAGGTGATCTTCTTCTTCTTCTTTTTTTTTTTTTGACAGGTAGAGTTACAGACAGTGAGAGGGAAAGACAGAGAAAGGCCTTCCTTCTGTTGGTTCACCCCCAAAATGGCCGCTATGGCTGGAGCTACACCAATCCGAAGCCAGGAGCCAGGTGCTTCTTCCTGGTCTCCCATGTGGGTGCAGGTGCCCAAGCACTTGGGCCATCCTCCACAGCCCTCCAGGGCCACAGCAGAGAGCTGGACTGGAAGAGGAGCAACCAGGACTAGAACCCGGAGCCCATATGGGATTCTGGCGCCGCAGGCAGAGGATTAGCCAAGTGAGCCACAGCGCCAGCCCCTCTTCCACTCTTTTATACTGAGAACACCTCCTCCATTATGCTGACTTGGTTTTTCATATTGTTTAGTAATTTAATAAAAAAGCCAAAATGAAGTTATGTCTTCTTTTAAACTGCAACAATAGAATTCAAGAAAAAAATCGGAGCTGACAGCCAAAAAGAAACAGAAAATTGCTGCAGCCCAATAAAATGCCAGAATTTGATTTTTTTTTTTAAGATTTATTTTACTTGAAAGGCGCCCTTACAAAGAAAGGGAAGATACAAAGAGATCGATCTTCCATCTACTGGTTCACTCCCCAAATGACCATAATATCCAGGGTATGGGCCAGGCCAAAACCAGGAGCCAAGAACTCTAGCCAGATCTCCCATATGGGTTGCAGGGGCCCAAGCACTTGGGCCAACTTCCGCAGCTTTCCTAGGCGCATTAGCAGGGAGCTGGATTGGAGGTGGAGCAGCTGAGACTTGATCCATTAGTCAAATGGGATGCCACGTCCCAGGCAACAACTTAACTCACAACGCAATAATGCTGGTCCATGTTGCACTTTTTTTTTTTTTTTTAATTTATTGGGGGCCAGCGCTTTGTCACAGCAGGTTAAAGCCCTGGCCTGAGGTGCCGGCATCCCATATGGGTGCTGGTTCTAGTCTCGGCTGCTCCTCTTCCGATCCAGCTCTCTGCCATGACCTGGGAATCAGTAGAAGATGGTCCAAGTCCTTGGGCCCCTGAACCCACGTGGGAGACCTGGAAGAAGATCCTGGCTCCTGGCTTCGGATCAGCACAGTTCTGGCCGTTGCGGCCATCTGGGGAGTGAACCAGCAGATGGAAGACCTCTCTCTGTCTCTACCTCTCGCTGTAACTCTTTCAAATAAATAAAATAAATATTTGGAAAGGCAGTGTTACAGAGGTGTGTGTGTGTGTGTGTGTGTGTGTGAGTCTTCCATCCGTTGGTTCATTCCCTAACTAGCTGCAAACGGCTGGCCAGATCCGAAGACAGGTACCAGGAGCTTCTTCCGGGTCTCCCACATGGGTACAGGGGACCAAGGACTTGGGCCATCTTCTACTGCTTTCCCAAGCGATAGCACACAGGTGGATCGGAAGTGGAGCAGCTGGGACTCAAACTGGAACCCATATGGGATGCCGGGGCTGCAGGCAGTGGCTTTACCTGCTATGCCACAGCGCCGGCTCAGCACTGATTTCAATGCTTGTATTTATTACGTACCAGGGAGCTCATCATAAGCCGCTTGAGAACAGGAATTGGTTTTTGTGTCATCTATTCTCCTTACCCACACAGTACTTACCATTTTGTAGGAATTCAGTGAACACAGGTAATAGTGGGTTGATTTTAAAAAAGTTTTAATATGAGGCCTTCAAAAAGTTCATGGAAAATACCTCTAATGTAAAAAAATACATGGGTTTAAACTTTTTTGCACCAAAATACATTTTTCAAAGATTTTATTTACTTTATTTGAAAAGCAGAGTTACAGAGAGGCAGAGATAGAGGTACTCCATCCACTGGTTCACTCCCCCAATGGCCACATTGTCCAGGCTTGGGCCAGGCCAAAGCCAGGAGCCAGGAGCTTCTTCCGGGTCTCTCACTTGGGTGCAGGGGCCCAAGCACTTGGGCCATCCTCTACTGCTTTCCCAGGCCATAGCAGAGAGCTGGGTTGAAAGTGGAGCAGCCAGAACTTGAACCAGCGCCCACATGGGATGCCAGCACTGCAGGCAGCAGCTTTACTTGCTACGCCACAGCATCAGCCCCTAAATTTACTCTTTATTTCTGTTTTTCCACAGAACTTTTCAAAGTACCCTCTTAGATTTGTCATTTGGTAATACAAGTATCTTCCCAAAGCAGAGTCCTAAGTTTTGCTCTTTTAATAAAAGCACACAAGGCAACACGCTTTTCATAAAATATTACCTTCCTCCTACCGAGACTGGGGAAACAGCATCGTGAGTGATTCTTTTGGTTTAAATTCTGAAATTAAATGCGATCAGCTATAAAATACTGGCATGCAGATATACACAGGGCACACCTGGCAACACAGTTGGCATGTATCAACACTTATTGAATTAAAGAACGAATTGGGCAATCATTCAACCTGAGGCTGTTCCCTTACCAGTAAAATAAAGTTATTACTTCTCCACCTCCCACCCAAGATTACTGTCAGGAACACACCATAGAACAGTTGTGGAAATGCTTAAATGCTCATTACCACCTGACGGCAGATTCTGTATATTGACCTGTCACTCCTATGAGCTGGCATTTTTAAGGCTACCAAGTGAATTTAGTGTTTAATTAAAGCTCACAACTAACGTAGGAAATTACTTTAAACATTTATAATTGGGGCGGTGTAGGCCATTCCTAATTTTGTCTGGTTGCAGGGCTGCGGTGCCATACACGAAACGGCTGCGACCAACTCCCACTCTCAGGAGAAACTCGTTTTTCTCCGGTGTGCGACCAGCTAAGCAAATACACAAACAGCACGAATCAGTGACCCCAACCTAGCACCTCAAGGCAACGCGTGGTCAGATCCCCCCCAGCCACAGCGACCCCGGCGACACGGAGGAGGGAGAGCAAGGCTCGGACCCCAGCACGCAGCCCCTCCCCCTCCCCACGCAGCCCCGGGGCGGCGACGAGGGCCCCTCGCCCCGGACGGTTGGGGTCCCCGAGCGGTGGCCAGCACCCGCGGCCAGTTGGGCAGAGCGAGCGCCGCGGCCGTTGAGGACTGCAGCTCCCGGCAGGCACCGCTTCCGCGGCCGACGCGCGTGGCGGCGCTGCCCGCTGGGAGTCGTAGTGCGGTCCGGGTAGGAGAAAAGGGGGAAGCTGCCACCACCGGCTCCTCCCGTGCACGTTTCGGACACTGGGCCTGGAGGGGCCCTCGCCGGCCTACCCGTACCCGGCGTCCCCTCGGAGCGTAGGGAGCGCGGAGCGGGGGCCGGCGCGGCGGGAAAAAGGCCCCCGGAGGCCGCGCACGTGCGGGGTGGTTAGCGCTGAGGAACCCGGAAGCGCCGCGCACCGCCCACCGCGGCGTTGACGGGTTAACGCTCCTGCGGGTGGAGGTGGGGGAGGGCTGTGCGCCACGAGGGGCCGCCCCAGCCGACTCCGCCGAGCAGCGCCCGCCGGCCGGCCCTCCCTTCCCCCCCTCCCGCGGGCCCTACGCCGCGAGGCCCCGCCCCCGGCAGCGGCGCGTGCGCAGAGGCCCCGCCCCTCCGCCCAGCCCCACCCCCACACCCGCGGCCGCCACCTCTCTCCCATCCTCTCCGCTCTTTCCTCCTCCTGCTCTCTCTTCCCTCCTCCCCCTCGCCGCCTTGACTCCGCCTCCTCCGGCGCTGACGCTCGCGTAGGGCTCTGGCGTCAGACGCGCGGGGCGGGGCGGGTGCGGCGGGGGGTATAAGTAGAGGGTGCAGGAGGCGGTGCTTCCCCTTCTCCCCGGCGGTTAGTGCTGAGAGTGCGGAGTGTGTGCTCCGGGCTCGGAACACACATTTATTATTAAAAAAATCCAAAAAAAATCTAAAAAAACCTTTAAAAACCCAAAAAAAAATTTACAAAAAATCCGCGTCTCCCCCGCCGGAGACTTTTATTTTTTTTTTCTTCCTCTTTTATAAAATAACCCGGTGAAGCAGCCGAGACCGACCCGCCCGCCCGCCCGCAGCAGCTCCCAGAAGGAACCGAGAGACCGAGGCCTTCCCCGCTGCCCGGACCCGACACCGCCACCCTCGCTCCCAACCGGCAGCCCGCAGCCAGCGGCAGCGGATCGACCCGGTTCTGCGGCCGTTGAGTAGTTGTCGATTCCGGTTGAATTTTGTCCCTCTGCGCTTGCCCCCGCTCCCATCCCCCCCGGCGCCGGCCCCCCGGCCCCAGCACTCGCCCTCCTCCTCTCACGGAAAGGTCGCGGCCTGTGGCCCTGCGGGCAGCCGTGCCGAGATGAACCCCAGCGCCCCCAGCTACCCCATGGCCTCGCTCTACGTGGGGGACCTGCACCCCGACGTGACCGAGGCGATGCTCTACGAGAAGTTCAGCCCGGCCGGGCCCATCCTCTCCATCCGGGTCTGCAGGGACATGATCACCCGCCGTTCCTTGGGCTACGCGTATGTGAACTTCCAGCAGCCGGCGGACGGTGAGCGCCGGGCCCGGCGGGCGGGCGGGCGGCCATGAGGCCCGGGCGGCGGCGGCGGCGGCGGCGGCGGGCGGGCTAGGCCGGGGCGGGGGTGGGAGGGCTTGTCACCCACCCTGCGGGGGCCCGGCGGGGCGACACCCCTGGCCCGCCCGCCCGGGGACCCGCGCGGCCGGCCGCCCCACGCCCCCCGCGTGCCGGGCCACTTCCTCCTTTGCGACCATTTTCTCGGCCTCGGCGGCTCTGAAACTTTGGGGGTGATGACGCGCCGGGGAGGGCGGCTGAGATGTCCGGTCCCTGCCCGGCGCTCCCGCCGCCCAGCCGCAGCAGCGTTCGCCGCCGAGTTCTCGGGGCGTGGGTGGAGGCGCTCGCTCCTGCCCGGCGTCCCCGGCCCGGGGAGGAAGTGCAGTTTGGTGCTCGAAAAACACCACGTGTTGAACCCTGTAACCCCGCAGGCCGAGGCCTGTGCCTGCTCCCGGCCCAGTCGCCTGGGGGAGCCACCGGGCCTTAGGATGAAGTTGAACGTGGGGAGGAGTGGCGGGGGTCCTGAGCCCCGCGGGTGTGCCGTTCACTGCTGCGAGGCTGGCGGCCGCGGAGACGCACATGGCCCGGGAGGCTTTCCCCGGGGTGCGGCAGCGTGGTGGGAGGGGGCCGCGCTGCAGACCCCTCCCCGGCGGCCTGGGCCCCTCGCGGCCGACTCGACCCCCCCTACCTCAAGACTGCTCCGCGATGTTGGTGGTACTTGTTAGGGGGCCCGGCCTCGACCCCTGAGGTGGTCGGAGTTTGTCTTTTATTTCTAGCAGTGGCTCAGACTGTCTAGGAGTCTTGGGGGAGAAGTGAGTATTGAGCGCAGACTAATCGAGGTGATGGGCGGGCGGGAAATGCCGCCAGCCTGGTCTTTTTATATTTGTGTTCAAAAACAAAATTTGGAAATCAGGGAAAAAAAAATCTGAGGCTTGATGGGCTTCCGTGTCTGGCCCGGTGGACTTGCAGAACCAGCTCCTCGTGATATGGCCCGATTTTCTTTCCCCTTCTGAGCTGCTTGGAGCCGTGTCAAGTGTTGGAAGATGGGAAGAATTCCTTTTTATTCTAGCGGAAAGGGTCTTCGAGGGTGGACTTTGCGCCTTGATTTCATTAAGGTCCCCGGCGGGACGGGGTCAGCGGCCAGTGCTCCCCTGGTGAAGTGGGTAGTTGTGATTGGGGCGAGCAGGAGGTGACAGAGCCCGACGCTGGGAAGCTGCAGTGCAGGCTCCCTGCCCTTTGGCTCTCCAGCCAGAGTTGCGAATGTCACTTCCTGACAGCCCTCACTCTGGGCACGCGTGTACCTGGAGGAGATCAGAGAGCGGAACTCTGCAGAAGCCGTGAATGTGTGCTAGAGACAGAAAATGGCAGCTTGGACGTGGCGGTAGCTCTACGGTCAATGTTTTTAAATCCCCAAGAACAATTGTTTGAATTTTTTGGGACTTGAAAAGTTGGACTTCGGTTACCGTGGTTACGGTATACTGTGTGATCAGTCCCTCCAAGTTGACTAGTAATAGTGCGGTGACTGCTCAAGAGAAGGTCGCATTTTTCTGTCTTCTATTTTTTGGTTTACCATCTTTCCAAATAGATTTTGGAGTGTGTGTGTGTGTGTGTGTGTGTGTGTGTTTTCCCCTCTGCATTGATGGACTTGTAGAATAGCTTCTGCAAGTGACCAGTATTCAGTTAATGAAAAGAGGCTCAGCAAAGTCAGCTAAAAAAAAAAAAACCACTAGGGGAGCTGAGTGGGTGTGGTCAACTGATAATGAGCTGACAGCTGTGTATCAGTATATTCTAGAAACTGGAGCGTTCATTTATACAAAGAAGTGCCTGGAAAATTTGTCCTGTCGATAACTTTACATTTACTTTGGAGTGGAATTTGTGTGTTTCAGGATTTCAATCTGACCGTTTCTCCCTACTTAGGACTTACTTTTTGTACTTGAGGATAGAATTTTCCATTTAGGATCTCAACTTTAACAAATGTTTCTTTAACGGTATAGGTACACATAACTTAGTCCTTTAGAAACTGATTTTAACTGTAAGATAGGTATTTGAAATTTTCTGGCACTTTCCAGATGTAACTAGAGTAAATTGATCATCAATTGTGAAGAAAACTAAAATGATAAAATTGAGGTAAAATTAATTGTGCGTCAAGAAAGCATTAAAAGTGAGTTGTAAGTATTTCAGAGCTGATAGTCAGAAATTCTGTAATGACACAGCTAAGCATGTCCAACTTCGCATCCGTTTGTGAAGGCATTTTCAAACCTTCCTTTGGCTTTGCCTTGTTTTTTCCATGGGAATAGGAAGTTGTGCCATGAGTCACTGAAAGGTCCCCCATAATTTAGGAGGTTTTATTTTTTAAGACTGTTGAATAGTTTTTGTATGATACTGGCAATGATAAGCAATGAAGTGACCGATCCTGGCAGATAGGAAAAATGTGAAATGCTCAAGTCTGGAAACTGCTTTGAGCCTGTCAATAATGTGCAGTAGCCTAATGTCTTTTATATTGCTCATTAAACAGGCTGCGGATGAGGAACCTGGGTTTTAGGTTTACTAGATACAAATGGCAATTAAGGGGAGAGATTGTCTCAGAAACACGTTAATTAGCAACGTGCCGCCTCTGAGTCTATGGGAAACTTGGGGTTTCTGGTATTTGTCTTTTGGCAATACACGGTGCGCGACACTCTGCATGGTCAGGGGACGAGTCCAGCTGTGGGAGCGCGCGCCCAGCCACCACCCCAGTGCCACAGCTGGTGTGGCCCCCAGTGGCCGCTGAGTGTGGAGTAACCTCTGCTCGTGTCCTCTCTGCAGCGGAGCGTGCTTTGGACACCATGAATTTTGATGTGATCAAGGGAAAGCCAGTACGCATCATGTGGTCTCAGCGTGATCCATCCCTTCGCAAAAGTGGAGTAGGCAACATATTCATTAAAAATTTGGACAAATCCATTGATAATAAAGCACTGTATGATACATTTTCTGCTTTTGGTAACATCCTTTCTTGTAAGGTAAGCAAACATGAGACAAGTAAACACATTCAGAGTGTTTACCGACTTTTAGTTTAGTCCTTAAAATAGTCATTGCAGTCTGTTAATGACGGGTGTCTTTACTTCCTAAATACTTAAGTTAAATGGCTGACAGATGATCTCTGAACACTGGAAAAATATTGATAGCAAGTAATGAAAAGGGGGTGTATACTTTTTCCCTAGGTGGTTTGTGATGAAAATGGTTCCAAGGGCTATGGATTTGTACATTTTGAGACGCAGGAGGCTGCTGAAAGAGCTATTGAAAAAATGAATGGGATGCTTCTAAATGATCGCAAAGTGTAAGTATAAAGAGTCATTTTTGTAGATCCTGTTTCTATTCTAAATCCACTCTTTAAAAAATACTGTGCTTTTAATAGGTAGAAGTAGAGTGGAAATAAACCGCATCTTGGTAAGAGGTTTCATAATTATCTTTTTCCTCAGCACAACATACAGATAACGTTGAATTTAATGCAACTGGTCAGCATTCAGAACCAAAAGAAACAAGATAAGTTAATGGGGACATAAAACTTTTTTCAAAATAAGTGCATTTGAAAACCAAGAATTCGTTCACACTTAACATGAATACTTCCTGAGCTATGATTAGGTTGGTCCATGTCACAGTCGGGAACTGAAGCTAAAGTATTAGTTTTTACGTGGTAGTAGGAAAGACTGACTTGACGTGGCAAGTGTTTTTAGCCTCTGTGCCAGTGCGTTTCTCTTAGCCGTCTGGGGAAATTCAGCTGTAAGGTCACACTATAAGGCCATAAATGATCTCTAGGAGCCTGTTGCTGTGTGACCCACGTCACTCTTCAAGGTGTGGGTCCCACAAGTCTCGGGAGGGCTGTGATCTGTATCGGTTCCATAACCGGGGAAAGCCTTTGTCGTGGACGTCTCTAAAATCCAGTGTCTTGTAGTGCTTACAAAGGCCAACTTCTAGAAATGGTTCCCCTCCTGAAGTGAGAATACTCACTGCCATT